ATATATATATATATATATATATATATATATATATATATATATATATATATATATATATATATATAATGGTTTCAGCTGCATCTGATTCATTTATAGTCTCGAACATTATTCATATGCAAGTAACCGTACTGGTCGGTAAAGCATTCCTCATAGTAGTTCTATATTACAGTTTTACTTAAATCTTAAATCACTTTGAAAAATAAAACTTTAGTAATATTTAATATTTTATGTGTACAGAACCCCTAAACACAACATGTCACTTTTCCATTTGCAAATCTGGTGAATGTTAATCATGCTGTCTTCAATAAAAAGCCAAATACCACATTTTTGTGCACATTGTTTTTGTCATGGGCTTTCTGAATAAAAATAAACCTCTTAAAGCTCTGTGCAGTAAAGTAAAATTAATTATATTCCTACTGACGCTGTGCAGCTGCCAATCTGCCACCTTTAAGTCCAGATGCATACTAAAAGCTGAGGGGAAATTTAATAACCACAGAGTCCCTTGATGAGGAGTTGGAAGGAAGCGATTAGGCGAAGAAACTCTGGTAAAATAGTACTGGGATACACATTAAGAATCCACACATGAACGTCAGTCACAGTCAGTGTTTAAATATTTTATGTTGTCTTCCAGGTCGTCATCACTGATGGCATCAGGGAGTTGCGCATACACTTATATGTAAATGTAAATTCTACAAAGATGTCTTGGGATCAGTCTTATCATCATATGATGTGAACATTAAATACAAGATCAGAGATGAGTGTCATGCTCACCAAGACTGCATTTATTTGATCAAAATACAGTGAAAAAGGTGATATTGTATACACAAATATTTCGGTTTTCTATTTCTGTAAATTTTAAAATATATTTTTCCTGTGATGTCAAAACTGAATTTTCAGCAGTAATTTCTGTGGCCTTCATTGTCTCATGGTCCTTCTGAAATTATTCTAATATCCTGATTTGGTGCTTTATTATTGGGGCTCAATTATTATTAATGGTTCTTAATATTATCGATGTGTCACGATTCGCTGCTGGAAGGAACGATGGAGATGTGAATAACGTAAACGGTATTTAAATAGAGATCACAGGGGTAAATCCATAACAGGAACAGGGGTAAACACACGTAATCCAACAAGTAGACCCGACAAACACAGACTGAACAGACTGGGGCTTAACTACACAGGATAACGAGGGAATTTGGAGGAACGCAGGTGAACAGAATGACTAATTAGACAGGGGAGAAACTGGGTCTCGGAGCACATGGGGAGGGAAATCACAACAAAGACAGTCCAGGGGCGTGACACGATGTTGAAAACATTTTTTCTGCTTAATATAAATTTTATAATTTTTTGTTTTGTGGAAACTCTGATACATTTTTTTTTCCAGGATTCGTTGATGAATAGAAATATCCATGAGAAGCAGAAGTAGACAGTTTTGTAACAATATACATGTTTTACTGTCACTTTTAAACAATTTAATGTGTACATGCTGAATAAAAGTTATTATTTTTATTCATTTATTTATTTAAATCTTACTTACCCCACAATTTTGAATGTCAGAAATAGAAATATATATATAAAACAGTTATATTAAATTGTAATAATATTTCACACGTAAAAAATGTTTTGCTGTAATTTTGATCAAATAAATGCAGTCATGGTGAGCATAAGATACTTTTTTCAAAAACATTTAAAAAAACCTTAATTATTCCAGACTTTTGCAGTGTATATTAAAGTTGTAACTTAACTGAATATAAGCAGCAGACATGCTGTTGTGAGGATAAATCTGTTGTCTGTAGGGTTGTGTGCAGCTCTTCCAAGTTTCTTTCCTAATCCTAAGCAAAGAAGCTTAGTTCCAGCCGAGAAGAGGAAAAAACAGGCTACAATTCACACATGATCATCAAATCTAAATAGCTAAAATTGGATAGACACTGCATGGCCTGCAAAATCCTGCCTGCAAAAGGCAGATGGTATGGTCAGAATCTGGCACATCATAAATCCACACATCCTTCCTGCCTTGTGTCAACAGGGCACAGTGGTGAGACTGGTGTAACAGCCCTGGAAATGTTTTCTTGTGACACATTAGACCAACCGACCATCGTCCGAATGACGTAGGTTGCCTGAGCGCTGCTTTGATTAGGTGTACCCTCATATAGCCACTAACTAGCCATTTTCAGAATTTACCCTTGTCCTTCAGATCTGTTGAAGTGGAATGGAAGGTTTTAAAGTATGAATGTGCAGCCGAAAAGTCTGCAGAAACTGCATGGAGCGAGTCAGCATGGACAAAAGTCCCCAAGGACTGTTTCCAGTACTCTACTGAAATCATAATGCAAAAATTCTGCCTACTTTAAAGACAAAAGCAGGTTTAGTTTGAGACTCTAAAGTAGTCATTAAGTATGAAACCAAGAAAAACAACAAGGGACATAAATTGATTATAGGTGTAATCAATTAATTCTGCATTAATTAATGACATCACAAACTGAATTTCTCTCAACATGTGCATGTCTGCATATCTATAGTGGACTATATTAATATATATGATTCATACTTCACTTAGAATTACACTTTAAATATATATTTATTTTATATTTACATGACAGTAAAAGTGTTCGGTACTGCAAGTAATTTTTATGGAATGGTGTGTGGAAATAGATCCTACTATTCTATGAAAGATATCAGTGAAATAAATAACTAACCTGTTATGCCAATTTCTGTAACAACCTTTGTCTCTTTAAACATTAAAATAAAAATATTATTTATTTAGCTAATCAGAAAGCACTGAGGCGCTTGTCAATAATTTTGTGCATTCTCAGCGGGCAGTTCCTATATGGGAAGCTGGAAGTGCGAGATGAATTTGTAGCATTTTCATGAATTTGGAAGGTGCAACATGTTTGTGATTTCTCATCTTTCACGGCTTAAATGTCCTTAAAAGAATGGGAGGACCGAAGAAAATTAAGAAGCAAGAGTGAACATCACTTTTCATGGCTGCAGGATATTGAGTTTCAAAAGGCTAAAAACAGATGCTTGACTTGTAATTATATTGTTGTAGGAAGAAGGGGCGTGTCTAATTCTGTGGCTAAAGGTAGCAGAAGTTTTAGAAAGTGCTTACTTTGAGCTTGTTAAATGTAGTCTTTAGTTATTGTTCAAGGCTCAGTTTATTGTATTCTGTGCAATTACTAGTATTGGTGTCCCACTATTGTTATTTTTCAAGGCATCAGATTTGAACACAAACAGATAACGCCCCTTTTCTATCACAACAGGGCTATTGTTATATGCTTTGGAAAAGATTCCAGGTCTTGGTATGAAATTGTCAAATTTGACGTGACAACCACAACAGCATTGCCATCTCTAGCTCTAACTGAAGTGGTTTTTGCACAGCTGTCAGACTTTCAATGTCATTACTCTTCCCTATTTGAGATGTTTATGAACAGTGGTTGTGCTGTTACACTCTCCAGGTCCAGGCAAGCTAGGTTTCATGAATGAATGATTTTTCCCTCCAAGAAATTATCCACCTGAACACTGTCAGCTGCCTTCCAAAATCTGCTCTGCAACACTTTTAGGTTTTATCAGGATGCTTCAGCCTGCTGGCAGCAATAAAATAGTGATCTAAAATATAAAGAAAATAAAAAACAACTGCTAGCATCGCTGCCATCATTAATTAATGACTAACCTTTAATTATGCATTTTTAATTGACTGTTTCTTCTGCTTAAGGGCCATTAATTATTTATCTTCTCTAAAATTAGAAGACCACAATTCTCTTCATGCTTTTCTTTTTCTATATCTACTAATCTGGCATTTTCTTCAATGGATCATGTTATTTATTCTCAGCACTTATGTCTGTAACTTATGGAAACTTGTTTCCGCCACAGCATAAAAAAAATCTAAAAAAGCTAATCACTTTATCTCACAATTCAGTCTCCCCCCCCCCTGCAATCCAGTGTTTAGATCTCAAAATTGTGAGATATAAAATTTGAATTGTGAAATATAAAATGTATAAATAGTGAGAAGTAAACTCACAATTC